ACCAGGGTTTTTATTGTTAACTACAACAGAATAAAGCGGAAATAAAACATAAATATTAGATGTAAATGTTTCCTTGGCAACTATCTGAATTCAGTTTAAATTGAAGTGGTAAAATTACTAACTAAAAAAGAAAGATGAGCTTACAATAAAACTGAAATACACATTTTATATCTATATCTATCTAATAAACATGACAAAGGCACGTCTTCAAAATAATACGATTTCTAAACTAAAAATTTAAACTAAAATATAAAAGGGTTATTTAAAAATATGAATAAAAACTGTACAAGGACACAATACTAAAATGACACTACAGGCAACATTGGTCAACAAATACCTTAGGATGTAAATGCGAGGGCCATGTGAGATTTATACACTTTATAGTCAATTAAAATAATTTACCTTATATCTAATGACCTGTTAATCATTATATAATATACTAATGTTCTTTGTTCAAGTTATTACGTGCTAACATGAAAAACCAGTTTGATACGGAGTCTTGAGTCAGGGGTCACTGGGTTTGCAAGTTTAAAAACCCCTGGCCTGCACAGTACCGCAATGCAAACATAATTCAAATGTATAAACTAAATGACCTAACGTTACTGAGAACAGAACATTAGCGGCAGGTCCACAACACATGTGTCGTGTTATGATATGGTCACATCAGTTATTATTAGCGCTAAACTAAAGGATTTATAACAACATTTCATATACATATATCAAAGTCTCCAGACATCTCATAAGTACCTGCTCAGAGCGCCATATGCCGCATCGACATTGCCGTTCTGGACCATGACAGAGCGAGCGACGAAGCGAAGGTGGTTCGCCATGTTTCGTCCGTGTTACCGTCAATGGTGCACGGCTGGAAATGCGCTCTGTTGCGCAGACAGTTCCTGGAAGTAAGCGCGCGAACTCTAGGTGGCGCCAAATAGACTTTAAAAATGAACGGTTGAGCTTCTTGGACGACATGTACTGTGTATTTCAACGGCTCAGTCACCTGAGAGGAATTAGGCCAATTCAGGTAAATTAGATTGATAGATTTTATTGATTTTAGCTTTATTTACAAACAAGACATTGAGGAACCTAACAGAATGAAAATAAAGAGCTACAATTAGCGACTACTCTATGTGAGATTAGGAGTTATTATATGTGGGGCCAACTTGCTATTAGTTTTGATATTTTTAACCATCTTTTGAAATTTCCGTACCTCTGACAAACCTTATTACTACATGTTACAATAATACTCTCTGGGAAGCATTTTTGTTGATTAGACAAGAAATGAAAGGGGTCATATGATGCGATTTAAATTTTTCCTTTCTCTTTGGAGTGTTACAAGCTCTTGGTGCATAAAGAAGACTAATGTCTCAAATCCACACTGGATGCAACAAATGCCTCGTTTATAATGTCGTCGTGCCGGGACATGGCATCACAGTATGGTAGGGGCGTAACATTTCTGTTACACGCTTGAGGAATTCGGCCAATCACAACGCACTGGATTGCTGGCCAATCGGAGCACACCTTGCTTTTTAGAACGATGAGCTTTGTAAAAATTGACACGTTTCAGAACAGCGGGGCATAGAGGAGAAACAATAATGTACATTATGTGGAAAATAATGTGTTTTTTGAACCTTAAACCGCATAAACACATTGCATTACACCAAATACACAAAATAATGTTCTTTTTAGCAACGTCATATGACCCCTTTAAGATACACATGTGTGTGTTTCTTAATAAAATGCTGTTTTTCATTTTAAAAGTTAGACATACATATAACTTTACATGCAGTATTTTAAAGGGATAGTTCACCCCAAAATATAAATTCTGTCATTAATTACGTACCCTCATCTCGTTCCAAACCCTCAAAACCTTCGTTCATCTTCGGAACACAAATTAAGATATTTTTGATGAAATCTGATAGCTCTGTGACCCTGCATGGACAGCATCGCAACTGCAATGTTCTCAGTCCCAGAAACGTAGTCCATAACTTAAATTTTGCGAAGCTACGACAATACGTTTTGTGTGCAAAGAAAACAAAAATAACAATTTATTAAACAATTATTCTCCCCAAGTTACCCTCTTCTGCCATTTTGGAGAATACCACGACGCATGCGCGCGTTTTCTCCTTAACGTAAACAACGCTGATTACATTGATTACGTTCTGGGGAAAGCGCACACATGCGTCGTGGTACTCTCCAAAATGGCAGAAGAGGGTAACTCAGGGGGAATAATTGTTGAATAAATTATGTTATTTTTGTTTTCTTTGCACAAAAAAAGTATTCTCATAGCTTGGCAAAATTGAAGTTGAGCCACTGATCTCACATGGACTACATGGGACTGGGAACATTGCAGTTGCGGTCTTACGGGTTTGGAACGACATGAGGGTGAGTAATTAATGACAGAATTTTCATTTTGGGGTGAACTATCCCTTTAAAATACTGCATTTTATGTTATATGTACATCTAACTTTTAAAATGAATAACAGCATTTTATTAAGAAACACGTATCAACAAAAATGCTTCCCAGAGAGTATTATTGTATAAGTGTAATTCGGTTTTTCAGAGGTACAGGAAGTGTAATGATAAAATTTCGAAAGATGGTTAAAAATATCAAAACTAATATCAAGTTGGCCCATTTTTGGGTGAACTAACCCTTTAACTAAGCCTGCTCTATATTCATTAGGCCCACTGAACTTCTATTATGTTTTTGTGACATGAAAGTGCTCACTTAGTCTCCAAACAATTTACTTTTTATGTAGAAATATTCCCCCTCCTTCCGCTGTCTTTCTCTTTCATACATGGATTCCTCATCGTCTCCCGGTCCGGATAATGGGGTCAGTAGTAGGTGAGTGTGGGATCAGGATTGTTTTCTAATTCAAATTCAAGTAGCTTTATTGACTCGACCACTTCAAAGAAAGACTTGCTGGCGTGCTTTTAGGGGAAGCATTCAAAGTGAGAGCAAGAAAACAGCTTGAACTTTTGCCACTGTCTCCATTCTGACTGAAAATATACAGTTTCTTTCTCTCTCTCTCTCACTTGTCTTCCCCCTCCACTTTTCCTCTTTTCCATTTCCAGGGATATCATTTCTTATCCAGACTTGTTGAAATGTTCTTGGTAGGAGGGGTGGGATCAGGGGGTAAAGGGAGAGAAAAGGGACGGGTGGAGAGCAACTCAGGAATCGGCTGGTAATTACCTCCGAGCATTTGGAGAAGAGGATGTGGTTTCAGTTTACACTGCCTCATTCTTTCTCTCCTCCCTGGCTCCCTTTTGGCCACTCAAACAGTGCATTTGCTTCTTGTCTCCTCGCTGCTTCTTTCACGCCATTTGTATGAGGAATGTGGAGACGTGCACAAAAGGAACAAAAATGAAATGAAGTGAAGCAGATTAGAGCAAAGTGAGAGAAAGAGAGAGTGAATGGGTGGGTTTGGAGAGAATGAATGGAACTGATTAAAGAAATCTAATAATGATGCTTCATCATTTATTAAGGTCATAGCTGGTGGCAAAATTCATGTGAATAAGCAAATAAATAAATAAATACATACATACCTAAATAAAAAGAAATAATCAGAAATCAGGGTCTGAAAATTTCTTCTGGTATTTCTGTGCAAAATAGGCAAAAATACAGTGTTGTCTTCTGCTGTAAAGAATTTTAAGATGAAGCTCTTTATTCCAGATCAACAGAACTTTATAACATTAATTTTACGATGTACCTGATATAGAATCAGATGCTATTTCAGCTGTACAAACTTTTGTAACTTTTGTAGAAAAGGGCACATTTTTAGATATCCTTATGTCATAAATATTTTAAGTTTATTTTACATTAAGATATTTTATATTTTACTTGATTAATTTATTTTACTTTCTATATTGTTTTACTATATTTTACTATTATAAATATGATTTTACTACATAATTTTAAAAAATATATATCGTTATGGTCTCAACAAATAGTGGTTGGTTTAAATTTATTTGAAACATAAAGTCCCTCAAAACTTCAGAGGAGGTCTAAATGCAAAATCAAAACCAGAGTCTTGTTAGGACACAGACACAGATCAGTCTAGCAGCTCTCAACAAGAGACAGAAGAGAGCCGAGATTTGAAGCTGTGATATGATTGACTGACAATGGCTGACTCTTGTGGTCTGAATACTAACAAAGCTCAGCATGAGATGTCTTTGTTGGCATGTTTGTATGAGAGAAAGGGATCTGAATAATATGGGGGTTTCCATGTATTTTACACAATTTCAGTTTTTAAACAAAAGCTCCTTGTTTGACAAACTTTCAGATTCAGATGACAACTAAATGTAACTAAAAGTAACAGCTGAAGTCCAAAATGAGAATCCCTGGAGGTGATTGATGCTTGATCCATGAACAAGGAGTCTGGAGTAAGTGGACTTGTAAAAATCATGCTGCAAGTTGCTTTGGATAAAAGCGCCTGCTAAATGACAAATCACACATTAGGATGCAACTAAAGGAATTAACAGTATAAGACCCGATCGCTCAAGCCAAATGGTGGGGCAAATAGGGGTCTTTCTGAATCTTTACTGGAAGCACATGGTGCGCGAGTAGCGGCCGCCCAATGAGACGCGGCACAGGCGCAAACGCTGCGGATTGGTCGAGAACTCAGCGGCGCACATTCACAGACTGACCTGAGAGAGAGAGCGAGAGAGAGAGAGAGAGAGAGAGAGAGAGAGAGAGAGAGAGAGAGGCTGAGAGAGAGAGAGAGAGAGAGAGAGAGAGAGAGAGAGAGAGAGAGAGAGAGAGAGAGAGAGAGAGAGAGAGAGAGAGAGAGAGAGAGAGAGAGAGAGAGAGAGAGAGAGAGAGAGAGAGAGAGAGAGAGAGAGAGAGAGAGAGAGAGAGAGAGAGAGAGGCTGCTGAACGCCGGCGGATGAGAGGAGAAGA